TGCTGAAGTTTGGCCTTCCCGATGACAGGCTGCTTCGAGAGCGTCCCCTTCCCCAGAACTGTGTAGTAGCCCGATCGCAGCATCAGTGATGGGAGCTGCTCCCGTCTTGTTTTTGGCGGCATTTTACCCGTGTCTGCTCACTGACCAAGGTCCACAATTTATCAAGGTTGACAGTTGGGCAGAAGCTCTGGTTCCTCGTTAAGTGGTAATGCCTCTTACCAGCTTGCCCAAAGTAACCTGGGTGGTTTTTTTCGAAGCTGATCCTGTGTGATGCGTGCCACCAGCATTACCCGGCCTCTGGGATGCTTCCGGTGCTTGCCGATGCGGCCATGGCCATGGCTCACATGGTCTGGAAGTTTCTAGGACTTCCTCAGTCTGGATGGCATGTCGGCGACTAAGATGAAAGAGGGGGATTTCCTTCTAAAGCAGTCCCTTCACTCTGCTCTGCTCACATGCACTCACCTCACTCTCCCGTCAACAGACCCCATGTGATATGCAGGCTATGACCCCGACACAAAGCAAAGCCTGATGTTCAGGATTTACCCACTGTTACCTCTCTGCTGTGAATCTTAGTAGAGCCCAATCTTTCTCTTATATCTTATGTGAAAAGAGGAACTATATGACTTAGTATCCACTTTAGAGACTGAAAGGGGACACTGTTAACATTTACATGAAGGCTTTAGATATACTATCACCCTAAATGTGAATAAGATATAATATAAACATTAAAAACCTTATGTTTGCCTATTTATCTTCCACAACCATGTAATATAATTTGATTATTACTGTTTTTATATTTTTGTAAAAGTCTGAATTTCTTGCCTGCAAGTTTCTTTCTTAGAGCAATTGCTCAATGAACTTACCTAGTTAGAATTAATTTTTAATCATAACTTGATCTTTTTTTCTTATTCCTGCCAACTAAAAGATGTTCTTATTTTTATTTTCAATGCAGATGCAGAATTTGCAGGGTGGGACAGAAGCTATTGCTCGATTGGATCAGTTAGAAGCTGATTATTATGATCTGCAACTTCAGTTATATGAAGTACAGTTTGAAATCTTGAAGTGTGAAGAGTTACTATTGACAGCACAGCTAGAAAGCATCAAAAGACTTATATCGGGTATGATGTACACTCGGCTACAGAAGTCCATAAAAGATTGAATACGTGGGGAGAATGCATGTAGACTTGAATTAATGTCTCTTCTGTTAAAACCTAAAATAGTTTTTTAACACAGGACACCTTTTAAAGATATTTCTGATGTCAAATAAGTAGTTCAGTAGGCTCAGCAATGTTGTTTATGGTTACTTTTGTAAAATACTTATATTATAATGGTTGTTTCAGCCAGAATCTGGATTTCCAAAAATTCTGAATTTTGCAGGAGTTGGGGGAGGGGAGGTGATCGCTAGCATTTGTTGAGCACGTACTGTGTGCCAGACACTGCTGAATGCTTTGCACACATGCGCTCTGTGAGGTATATTTCCTACTAATCACCATTTTACACACAAGTTCAAGAGGTAATGGCTTTGCCTAAGGTTACAGAGCCAGAAAGTACAGTAGAACCCTGTCCTGTCTGGCTCCACAACCCATACTCTTAACCATGTACCCCTTGTTGCAATTCGGAAACAGAAAAGAGAGATGAAGTGGTATACTATGACACTTATGAGAGCATGGAGGCCATGCTGGAGAAGGAAGAGATGGCAGCATCTGTGCACCTTCAGAGAGAGGAGCTGCAGAAACTTCAACAGAAAGCACGCCAGCTGGAGGCCAGGCGTGGGCGTGTCTCAGCCAAGAAAGCCTACCTCAGAAATAAAAAGGTATTTTAATCTAGCTTTTACTTATTACCCTGCATCCATGTGTAATAACCCTAATCGGATTTGTCACTTATATTTGCATGTCTCTTAAAAGCAAGTAGGTGTTCCTCCTGTGAGTACTCAGTTCATCATGTTGAACACCGGTCATTCTCTGAGAGTTGCCCTCCTAAACATATTAGAACAGCCAGTGATGACGTGCTCTTGAACTCCAGCAAACCTGAAGGTGGCTCCGCTAAAGGACAGGACTACAGGGTCCCATATAATGTATTTCCTGGCTCCTATTTTACTTAAGGAAGATGGCAATGTAGAGCAAGTCTTGGTCCTGATAACAGTTTTGAAGGAACGTCTAGACTTTGATGACATTTCAGGATGTTTGATTACTTTTCTATTTGGAATGATTCATTTCATGGGTAATCTATACATTCTTCCTCTGTCTTAGAAAATGTTGTACTTTCTAGTCCACATGCTACTGTCCTGGGGTGGTTTTTATTACTGTAAGTGCAGGGATGGAATCTGGAACCAGGTCGAAGGCTTGAACCAAACTGCTGATGGCCGCAAGGTACATATTTGCTTTGAGCTCAGCTAAAGTATGTCATGTTCTTTGAGAACCCACTTTCCTGCTTTTTACCAGATACTAAAGCTTCTATTTCCCCATTCCATAGAACATTAAAGACCTTTGCTTTTTAAATAAATAGCTCTTGCACATCAGAGAAACTTAGGTAGACATTTTCCCACAGTAAGTCAAGAGCCCAAGACCTTCTTTGACTTTGCCCAGCCACAAAACAGTGGGCACTCAAAGCTGTGGTTTTCACATCATTCTCTGCCTTTCCTATCTCCGTGACACAGTAATAATTCTTGAAACCCACTGTTGTCTTGGCCTATTGTAAATTCGATTTTCCAGCCTGTCCTGTGCCAACTAGGTAAACGTGGCATTGATTCTAGCAAGTCCTACGACTTCTCCAGAAAAAAAGTTTGAGGGAACAATGAAATGTAAACCAGATTTTAGAAGAGCAATCTTTTTAGGAATGTGATCATCATTGTTTTCATATTACTTTTAAGGATATAATACAGTATCTCAGAGATTAGTTTGTGAACTTGAAAGTTTTTGAAAGCACTTTTCAAAAATACCATGGAATTGAGACTTATTTTAAAGTAATTCATTTCAATTCAACAGTATGGTTGGCACAGTGTTAGACTTGTGATACAAAGATGGCGAGGACACAGTCCAGCTCCTTCTAGTCTTCTAGAGAAGGCAAGTCAGGTTGGAAGATGAGTGTTCTGCCTTCTGTCGGGAATACTTGAATTTAATGCTTTAATTCTCCCAGTAGCCAAATGAGGTAACCCCTTGCCTGAAATCTAGAAAACTCATACAATGAGAAGTGTTTTCATACTTTAGTGGCAAAACCGGACCCAAATTGATGTGACATTATTCATTGTCTTAATCCCACTTACTTTGACTGTTCACACATTTCACTGAAGAAAATATTAATATTACTGATTTGGGGTGCCACCCCAAATCTGCTTGAGTTAGTGAGTGATGGAATATGCTTCATACTACCATTCTGAAATATGAAAACATTTGGAATTTCAAAACACAACTTACCTGTGTTCTTGATAAGGGATCCTGGACCTATGTTCTTATTTTGGAACCAAAGGAACCAAGCCTTCTAGTAGTTATGTATAACGCTAAAGGAAAAGTAGTTAGTTTGGTTTCGGGGTAGGATTCTGCCCTCAGTCTGTGTGGCGCAAAGCCCGAGCCGCCGTATCACTGCATTGTGCACTGTGATGCTGCCTGCCTTTCCTTAGCTCTACTGGGCAGAGTCTTGTCAGGCAGTAGAATGAACCAGAGTGAGTGGAAAACATGATATAGACATTTTGCTTTTAAGATACAGTTGACTAGGACCAGCAGTTAGCATAATGGCTATGTTGCTGAACTCCCATGTAGTTGACCGTGGTTCAAGTCCCTGACCCAGTGGCTTAAACTCAAGCCGGGCGTGTGTGCATGCGTGCCCAAAATCCCAAGAGGAGAATGGAGGAGAAGGGATTGCGGTATGGTCATCCCCCCTGGGGGGTGATTTCTCACTTTCTGTCTCTCTGGTGAGTGCATGCACCCTGTAGCCAAAAAAAAAAAAACAGATACAGCTTATACAGCTTACCGACTTTAAAGGTTATTTTACACTTTTCTTTGATTAACAATAATCATTTTAGCATAGCTTAGAAAATGTTGGAAATTAATGTCAACGTCTTGCAAAGGTAGCTACATTAAAAAGGACAGAAGATTAAATAAAATAGCTTGGTGCCACTAAAAAGTTGCCAGTCAGGGGATCAGCAGTTGGTGTAATGGCTATGTCGCTGGACTCCTATGTAGTCGACTGCGGTTTGAGTCCTGGACCCAGTGATTTAAACTCACGCCAGGCATGTTTACGTACATACCCAAGATCTCAAGAGGAGAATGGAGGAGAAGGGATTACGATGTGGTCATTCCCCCCGAGAGGTGATTTCTCGCTTTCTGTCTCTCTGGCGAGCATACACACCCTATAGTACAAACCTCTCCCCCCCAAAAATAAATAAAGTTGCCAGTCAGATTGTATTGCATTATTTTATAAAGAAGCATATATCTCTTACTTTATTGTTGTAAAATAACTTTTTAAATCTTCTATTTAATATTGTAAAATATGTCTTGCATATAAATACATCTCATAATATTGTTTAAACCAGTTCAGACAAAATCTTGGTCTTTAACTCATTAGAGAGAGCTTAAGAATATAGACTTTATGGGGCTGGCAGGTGGTATGGTGGTTAAGCTGCTGGACTCCGACATGGCCAACCACGGTTTGAATCCTGAACCTGGTAGTTTTCTCTCTCTGGTCAAATTAAAAAAATAATAAAAATAAATAAAATAATTTATAAAAGAATATAGACTTTAATTCAACAATTGTGTGTGTGTGTGTGTGTGTGTGTGTATTTGCCTAGACTTGTTCAAATGGTGTAATAAGATTTAAAATCTCCTGGCCACAGATGTTAGAACTGAAACAGGCCTTCAAGAATATTTAAGGACACCCACTGCAACTCTCACCTTGCTCCATCTCTCCAAAACCTTCTAAACAAAAGAGGGGTCAAGAGGTCTAGAGAAGTTAATAGTTATTAGAGTCTTTAGAAAGATCCTGATTATTTGGCTTACACTGCATCATTAATTTACATGAGAAATGAGGTGGTTTACTTGGTACTTTGCTATAGATGTACATGTTAAGATTAAAATTTGTTAAATAAAACCTTGGTGCAGTATTCAGAATCTTTTAGATTGCATTTCTATTAAAATATATTTTATGTATTTGTAGGAAATTTGTATTGCGAAACACAATGAAAAATTTCAGCAGCGCTTTCGGAGTGAAGACGAATATAGAACTCATCACACAGTACAGCTAGTAAGTTTGGACTCTCACAGACTTGGATCTGAACTTTGTTTTGGTGAGATCTCAAAGTGGGCGAAATCTATAGAGAATGCGGAAACCTTTTAACTGTGTTGGCATTGATTGACTCTGTATATCATATGAGGGCACTTCAAGAAGCTGGTGGAAAAATGAGATTAAAATATGAGTTTATCTTGGTGCAGAAGTTCTGAAATCCATTCATACTTTTATCATAATAAGCATTTTCCACAGACTTTTTGAAAACTTGGTATGTATACATGCACACATACATACACACACATACACGTACATATGAGCAGTTTTTAGGCAAAATGGAGTGCAGAATACAGAATTCCTATTTTCCCACCCACACATACAACCTGTTTATCCCCTACCCCAAGTTAGAATTCCAGGTTGTTGCAGGTCCTCTCTTATTTGCTATCGTCACAGTTAAGAGATTTTAGCTATTCAATGGGTGTGCCCAATAGAACCAGAACCCTCCCCCTCACAGTTTCTCTGTCCCATCAGGATTTTGGAGATATGCATACATGGTGTTTTTCAAGCTGCCAGGGCCAGGATTTGAACTACTCATAGGCCGTGTGAGCTCTGACTCCCTATGCACAGTGCTTAACCACTGTGCTGTGGGACTACTCCTCATTTCTTTTTTCTATGTTAATTTTCTTTTGGATTTCCTATATAGATGATCATTCATATGTGAAAAATGTTTATTTCTTCCCAGTCTGTATACCTTTTATTCCTGTCTTACTGCACTAGCTAAGACTTCTAATATGATGTAAAAATCAGTGGTATAGGCAGACAGCTGTACCTCATTCTTGATCATAGAAAGAACGCTTTTATTTCCCACCATTAAATATAATGTTAACTATTGAAAGCTCTTGTTTCCCACCATTAAATGTGGTGCTAACTAATACAGTACTTACGTGTTCTTTGTCCAGTTGAAGTTCTCTGTATTCCTAGTTTGCTGAGAGTATTAGTTCATTCTATACAAAATTACCTTAGAGGCCACCTACTCACAGTACTGATATACCTCATTATGCCGAATCTGTCATCCTGATCGTCTTTTTGGACATATATGTCTCAAATTCATCAATACCAATAATTTGTATTTAATTAAATATCAGAAATAGTAACATGACCATAGCTCTGTCTTTGCTTATTTAAAAAAATTGTTTTTCTTCAGTATTACACTGAAGGCCAAAGGGCTTAAATTTGTCTATATTACCCCTTGAGCTCATTTTGGAAATGTTAACTAAGGCTGCCTCTGGTTTTCATTTAAAACACATAAAATTAGCTAAACTACCCATAAACTGTAAGATTACATTTTTCCTTTAAGCCGGAAACAGTAAATTAATGTGCCTTTATATTTACATTAGTGTTTGTGTGGATCAGAAGCTAGTGTGTAAGGTTAGTCGAGGGACTAGCATAGCAGTCTGATAAATGAGGATGTCCCTACTACTGTCACTCTGTATCTGAATTATTAGCTGTAATAAATCAGTTTCTACACTTAAGAGTTTGTTGCTCTTTACATAAAGATTGGGTTTTGATGAAATGTTAATTTTTTTTAAAGATTTATTTAACCTTATTTATTTACTTATTTTAATTAATTAATTAACTATACCATAGAGGGACAGAGTGAGAGAGAGAGAGGGAAAGTGAGAAAGCAAGCTGCCAGGTCCGTGGTTGGCCATTTGGGAGTTCAGCACCCTTAATCACCACACCACCTGCCAGCCCCAGAAATGTTAATGTTTGTAGAAGTCACTAGCTTTTTAGGATGAATGAGTATAAGATTCTTCCTCAGAGAGTTTTGTGCAATAAAGAGGGATAAAAATGAGGAAATCGATATACCATTTATCTCTGAGATTTCCTTATCTTAGAATTTTGCCCACTACCAGCTTTTGGTAGATTATCTAATTGTCAGAGAATGTATTCGTTAACTAGTCATCTTTAAAACACATAGGTAAAGGAAAATGAAAGTTAGCTTTAGGTCAAAATAGCTTAGATCTTTTTTCTTAAAAATTGTGTGAACTAGCTAGAGACAGACAGAGATGGAAAGAGAGGGAGGTGGAGAAAGCACTACCTAGTTGGAGGGTCACACCACAATCCCTTTTCCTTCATTTTTCCATTCTATTGAAACTGGGAGCGCACACACTCATGCACCCAACATGTTTTTCAAGCCACCAGGGCTGGGCCCAGGACTCGAACCACAAAGTTAGCCATGTGGGAACTGTCTCCCTTAACCTCTAGGCCACAGGTTAACGTCCAGTGGCCCAAGATCATTGTTTTTCAAAGCTAGTTTTGAACATCTTTATCAGAATCTTTTAGGCGGTGGGTTAAAATGTAGATCCCTAGATACTAATCTTATTTCAACTGTTTCTGCTGAAATCCCTACAAATTAAATCCTGGACTGGCCCTTTAATGCAGTGGCTAAGTGCTGTGCACGGGAACTGGATCCCACATGGCCCTGCTACAGTCTGAATCCCAGCCCTGGCAGCTTGAAAAAACAAGCCATGTTCACACACATACATGCTCCAAATCCCGATGTGATGGAGAAATGGAGAGAAAAAAGATTGCAGCATAACCACACTGTTGGGAGTTCTCTCTATCTCCTTTTCAAAAGCGCATGCGCTCTCGGGAACCAGCAGTTAGCGTAATGGCTATGTCGCTGGATTCCCACGTAGTCGACCGTGGTTCGCGTCCTGGACCTGGTGGCTTAAATCTCATGCTGGGCGCGTGTGCATGCATGCCCAGGATCCCGAGAGGAGAATGGAGGAGAAGGGATTGCGGTGTGACCATCCCTCCTGGGGGGTGATTTCTCGCTTTCTGTCTCTATGTCTCTCTCTGTCTGTCTGGTGAGCGCACGCGCCCTATAGTGAAAAAAAAAAAAAAGCGCATGCGCTCTTTCACAATAGAAAAGAAGCAAAAATGGGGCCAGCAGGTGGCATGGAGGTTTCCTGGATCCCACATGGCCAATTGCACACTTCTGGACATGGCGGCTTGAAAAACACGCCGGGTGGTACGTGTGCACATGCCGAAAAGGAGAATGGAGGAGAGGAGGTTGCAGCGTGGCCATCCTCCCACGGGGTGATTTCTCTCCCTGACCCTGTCTCTATCCAGCAAGCATATTTCCCCTATAGCAAACTAAAAAAAAAGAGAGAGAAGTTAGAGATATAAGAGCAAAGAAATGTATTGTAAAATTTAATAGACTCTAAAATAAACTAGTTGAAGAAAATGTGAAGATGCTTTCAACTACTATGGCTTTTTCATTATTACTAGCTTAAGAGACAAATTAGATAAGAAAAGAAAATCCTGATCAGGAAACAAGTAAATTTTTCCCATTAAAAAAATACATTCTTGGTTTTTGTAGCCACACCCATAACTCATAGTAGTTTTCATTTCAAACTCATAGTTTCCACTTCAAGAAAGCACAGACAAAATACTTTTATGCTGTACTTTATGGAAATTGTGATTCGAATTTTTTATTTTGTTCACAGTGGTTTCTTTTCCTATTGCCTGTTTACTCCATGTTCTGATATGTGCCATGCCCAGTCATTGACTGTTCTTATTTTTTAAGAACAATACTTTGTTATAAACCTCTTATTAGGGGGCCAGCAGATGGCATATTGGTTACATTGCTGGTCCCCCATGTAGTCAGCTGAGGTTCGAGTCCTATGTGTGCATACCTAAGATCCCTGGAGGAGAAGGTATTGTGGCATGGCCATTCCCCCCTTGGGAATGATTGAATGATTTCTTGCTTTCTTTTGCTGTCTCTCAGGTGAGCGTACATGCCCTATAGCAAAAAATCTCTTTAAAAAACAAAACCAAACCAAAAAAAAAAAAAAAAAAAAAAACCCAACCTTTTATTGGTCTGTCTTCCAGGCCTGTTGATTAAGTACAGCAGGATCCCATATGGTCAACCATTCATTTTGAGTCCCAGACCCGGCAGCTTGAGAAACATGCCAGCTGTGTGTGCACGAATGCCCAAGATTGTAAAGGAGGCAGGGAGAAAGAATTGTTTCATGATCATTCCGCACGAGGAATGCTTTCTTCTCTCTCTCTCTGTCTCTGGTGAGTGCATATACCCTCTAACAATTAAAAAAGAAACAAAAGGAAAAAAGTATACCACTCGTAGGTGTATATAACTTAAAGAATTTTTGTAAGCCAAGTATACCCATGTAACTCATACCCAGGTCTATAACACAGACCCAGAGTCTCTCATGTTCTAATCTAGCAACTTCCTCTCTCATCTCCACAGAAGTGAAGCAATTTCATTTTATGGGGTCACTGAATAATTTTCCCAACATTGTCCAGGTAGTGAAGGTGGGAACTGGCATTCAACCCAGGCCTCTTACTGGCTATGCCCTGAAGCACAGTAGTACCCTACTATGCTCTATCAAGATTACACTGGGCCAGCAGGTGGCATGGAGGTTAAGGCACTGGATCCTACATGGCCGACTTTGCAATTCAAGTCTTGGACCTTTTGGCTTGAAAATCATGCCAGGTGCACATGCATACGTGCCCAGTATCCTGAAAGGGGAGAGTGAAGACAAAGGATTGTGGTGTAGCAATCCTCCCAGGGGTGATTTCTCACTTTTCTACTCTCTCTCTTGTTTCTCTCTGGTGAGCACATGTACCCTTGAGCAAAAAACTAAATAATAATAATAATAATAATAATAATAATAAAATAACTCTACTTTCCCACACAAACACATCAGTTTATGCGTTAGAAGTCTGAATCTTTTCTCTTCTCTCTCCTTCTAGGATCTTTTACATTGTAGTAAGAAATTACTTTTGTAGATACCAGCTGACGGGCCAGCAATATGATTAATCTGTTCATTTAGCTCTGAACCTTATCTATCTGTTTCATCCATCATATTTAGAGATACAGGTTGGGAACCAGCAGTTAGCGTAATGGCTATGTCGCTGGACTCCCATGTAGTCGACCGCAGTTCGCATCCCGGACCCGGTGGCTTAAGACTCACGCCGGGCATGTGTGC